ATCAAGATGAATTGGTAATTGCTGGTGATAAGAATGTGAAAGTTGGAAACAAAAAAATACACTCTTGGTTATAGAAATGACATGATAGGATTTTGCAAGGACAATGACCTATTCATTGCAAATACCTGTTTTCAACGATATAAATGGTAAATATACACTTAACTCTTGCTGGATAGAATACACAGAAATCAAATTAACTCCATCTGTGGTAAGAGATGATGGAGAAGCTCAATATCAGTCAGATCAAGGCCAAGTGTCAGTTGTAGAACAGACCATCAATTGCTCATATCAAGTTCAAGTTGAAGCTGAAGAAAATTAAAACAAGTTCAAAACAGTGAGAGCCAAAGTATGACCCTGAGTATATCCATACCTTGGACTGCCAGAAGAACAAACAAATCTGTCTTGGAAGAAGTACAGCTGGAATGCTCCTTAGAAGTGAGAAAGGCCAGACTTCATCTCACCTACTTTGGTCATGTTGTCAGGAGAGACCAGTCCCTGGAGAAGGCTATCATGCTTGGGAAAGTAGAGGGTCAGTGAAAAGAGAAGACCCTCACTGAGGTGGATTGACACAGGGGCTGCGACAATGCACTGAAGCATAGCAAGGATTGTGAGGATGGCACAGGACTGGACAGGGTTTCATTCTGTTGTCCATGGGGGCGGCTATGAGTCGGAACTGACTCGACACCATCGAACAACAGCAACAACATCCTGACGTTGAGTCAGATCCGACGCATAGCGACCCCTCCTTGGTTTCTGAGGTGGTGTCACTATGGAAGCAGATTGTTCAACCTTCCTTCCAAGGAGTGGCTGGTGGGTTTGCATGTCAGGCTTCTGGTTAGCAGTCCTGTGCCTTAGGCACTACACCACCAAAGCAGCAACATATCCCATCTGAATTTTGAGACCATCTCAAATACATATTTGATGCATTGATCACTAAAGATCGAAGAACAAACGTATTATGAGATGACATCAAGGATATCATACACGAATAAAGCAAAAGGTCATCAAAAAGACAGGAAAGAATAAAAAGAAAAAAAGGCATATCAGAAGAGACTCTGATATAAAGCAAATGGAAGAAATTGTGAAGTGAAAGAGTTAAACAGAAGATCTCAAAGGGTAGGTCAAGAAGACAAAATAAAGTATTATAATGGAATGTGCAAAGACATGAAGTTAGAAAACCAAAAGGGAAGAACATGCTCAACATTTTTCAAGCTAAACAAACTGAAGAAAAAATTTAAGTCACAAGTTGCAATATTATTGCTGGATTCCAAATGGGAACTCTG